CTTACCTAACGATCATTAAAAATGAAATCACAGCCAGGGCGCAGTGACACAACTGCTCTCCCGTTTATTTCAAATCAAACCGCTTGTGAGCTGGATTCAGGGGAGACTTGGATGTCGCACACAGACATGTGGGTGAGGTGGGCAGCACACAGCTGCCAGCACGCGATGGATGGACGTGGAATTTGTTCACACAGCACGGGGAATGTTGTGCCACAGTCGCCGATCACAGCACGGGGCGTTGCACGGCCAGGATTCTGCTGCCCATCGTGCCAGCGTGGCTGGACATGCTCAGGCGGGACATTGTGGATCCCTCGGCGCCGGCCGTCCGCCTCTGACCCCGCGTTTGATTAGCGCCCGGGGGAGAGCAGCTGCAGGTCATTCCACGGGTGGGTGCGCCGGGCCCGGACAGGTCATATACTGTCCAGCTTCTTCAGGATGAAAGGAGCTGAGAAACAAAACAACGAGTCAGCATCTCACACAGCCCCGACCCCGCCGGGACGCCGCCCTTGCCGTGCCCCTGCCCGGCCGAGACCGGCACATCCCGGGAAGGGGGGTCCGGGAGATCCCGGGACACGCGGTCACTCACTGATTCGCAGCAGGGCGACGTAGATGAGGAAATTGCGGACGGAGGCGAGGACGTCGCGCCGCATCTTCCGCCTCAGCTCCTCCGGGTCCATCTTGGGCCCCAGCCCCTCGATGCGGAACATCCCGGAGCCGGCCCCGGTTCCCGGTCCCGATCCCGATCCCGATCCCAATCCCAATCCCGGTCCCGATCCGATCCCGACCGGGCCCCGGCGCCGCTGGCGGCCACACGCGGCGGAACCACGTGACCGGACGCACGGGTGCGTGCCGCGCGCGCGCACAGAGCGCGGTGACGCCACMGCCGCGCGCGCAGGGTTTGGGCGGGATTTCGTGAGGGGAGAGGGGACCGCGACAGMGCCGTGTGGGGACAGAGCCCCGTGTCCGGAGTATCCGGAGTGTCCGGAGTGTCCAGAGCCTTCCGCGAGCACTGGCCGGCCACACAGCTGCGGTGTGTCRTAGTTCCCCCGGGAAAGGGCTCTCGTTGGTGTTTGATCGCTGTGCACGGAGATGTAACCCCTGACACTGAGCACCAACGAGCTCTCAGTGCTCTCCAGGCATCGCAAAGACAAATTCCCGCTGGGTGGAAATGCCCTGYKGAGGGTCAGGGCTGCACAGGAACAGCGATCTGGGACCTGGGGGAGTTTAACAAAGCCTGGGAGGAGGATTTCCCCTGATAGAGGGCACGGGCGGTGCAGAATTGATGGGCCACAAGGACATGGGGCACAGCTCCCGAGATAAGGAACAAACTGCTGAAGGAGCTCAGCGCCCCCGCTGGGACAGCCCCGGGTGGGAACGGGGGATTGCAGCGGGGACAGGTCCTGGCACCGACCCAGGGACCCCTGAGCAAACACAGACACAGCACGGCACTAATTAGGGTGAGAGACATGAGGGGATCATTAACAACAGAAGGTGGAACGCTAATTAATGAGAGAACTGTGCAACAAATGAACGCTRATGCCTTTGTTTGCTAAAACGTGTAAAATAATCAAGGGGTTGCATATGAGGTGTGCTGGAGTTGTGGACATGCCAGGCTTACAAGCATATCCAGGTTTACACAACTCTGAAACAAACACTCAGTATCTCTCCAGTGTGTAATTACTCGCTTCTTGTACAGTGGCTAACAAATCTGACTTTTGTGTGTAACTGTGGGATCCTGTTGCAAACAGTTCTCTGGGTGAGCTTCACCCCCGGTCCAGCTCTGACCATTAAAAAAGGACACAATTAATGTCAGCATTTGTCATCTTGATGATTTGGGGTCTGGAGCATCTCTGTGCTGAGCAGAGACTGCGGGAGCTGGGTCTGCTCAGCCTGGAGAAGGGAAGGTGTGAGGGATCCCATCAATCCATACAAACACCTCACAGGGGACAGAGAATGGGGTCAGATTGTGTTTGTGGGGCCAGGGACAGGATGAGGAGCAATGGCCATAAAATAAACCACAAATTCCACCTTTACACTGAGGGTGTGGAGTCTCCTCTCTGGACACATCCCAAACCCATATGGACACGTTCCTGTGTCACTGACCCTGCAGTGACACGGGGTTGGACTGGATAATCACCAGAGGACCCTTCCAACCCCAAATATCCTGGGATTTGTTACTCAGACTCACACACAGAGCCTGGCTTGCCCTTGTCCCCAAACAGGTTCCTTCCCTCCGAGTGCGGGAGCCAAGGTATTTGGTTTATTTGCAGTTCTTCAGTTACATTTTGTGGCAAATCCACAAATGCAGCATCAGAACCATCAAACCCCTTGGTTATTTACACGTTTTAGCAAACAAAGGCATTAGCGTTTGTTTGTTACTTAGTTCTCTCATTAATTAACGTGCCAGCTCGGTCGCTGAGCTCCTTCAGCCGTTTGTTCCTTATCTCGGGAGCTGTGCCCGATGTCCTTGTGGCCCATCAATTCTGCACCGCCCGTGCCCTCTATCAGGGGAAATCCTCCTCCCAGGCTTTGTTAAACTCCCCCAGGTCCCAGATCGCTGTTCCTGTGCAGCCCTGACCCTCCACAGGGCATTTCCACCCAGCGGGAATTTGAGTTTGCGATGCCTGGACAGCTCTGAGAGCTCGTTGGCTGCTCTGTGTCAGGGGTTACATCTCCTGTCACAAGCTCCCTTTCCTGGGGTACTGTGACACTCTCCACATGCTGCAGTCCTACATGGTGGCAGCACTCAGAGTGCCGGGAACGCTGCCCGAAGGGGCCAGGGGCTCTGGGGATGCCAGAGCATCCCTGTGGCACCCCACAAAATCCCCACAACACTCCGCAGCCAGCCTGATAGTTAAAGAAAGGGATTTCTCTCTGCCAAGTTGCCTGTGACCCAAAGCAAAGAGCAATTACAGAGCAGCTGCTCCTACTGTTGCAGTGATTACAGGGCTAATTGAGCTTTCCTGGCKGAGGGCCTGAGCCAGGTGGCCAAGGAGAAGCGTTCCCAAAGCACCCCACAACCAACAGAGTCACAGGACGTTCACTGCCAGTGCCCGGTGCAAACGAGGAGGAACCTGTCCTGGTCACGGAAGATGTAGCACTGCCCTCCCGAGAGCTTTCCAGCAGAGTCTCAGGGGAAAACACAACACAGYTGCCCAGATCCCCTGCTGACACAACCTTGTGGCTGCGCCAGCCCCAGGAAACCTCCTTATTTACTCTGACAGGTGGCTCTCTCCAGTCTTTGCTGGCAGCAGCACCCTGGCAGGTCCCCAGTCCATCTTGGCACAAAAGCAAGGAGCCTCTCTCATACTGCATTTTGTGAGTGTTGTTCCTCCCAGTCTCACTTTCTGTTGGAAAATCAGGACAGGGATCCAAGCATTGCTCCGGAAGGGATGAAGGAATGTGAGCAAATCTGGGCAAAGCTGAGTCAGACATGACAGAAGAGAAAASACTGGAGCAAGGAGGGGACAGAAGTGTGGAGAAGGAGCAGGACAGGTGGGGACTCTGCCAGGGCATGGACAGGGAGGTTCTTGCCACAAATTGTTCCATGGGAGCCACCCCATTCTGCTCATCCCTTTGTGAGGTGGAGGCTTGAGGAACATTTCATATTTCTCATTGCACAGATGTGRAGTGACTGGCAAGGGAGAGAAGGCACTGGCTTTGGGTTTAGACATTGTCCTGAGCTGCCCTTTAAAATATTCGTGGCAAGTTTCTGAAATTCCCTCAGACCTCCAAACTCCAAAGCGTGGATAGTTCTCACTGTGTCTTTAGTTGCATTCAGTCCCAAAATTACAAGAGAATTTTACCTTCCATTCTCTGGAGCTACGGGAAGATAACGCGCCACTGACCGGGCACTGCCTTGAGTTCTTTGAACAGAACATGACCTGTGTGTGGCAGGTGTGAGAACGGCATGAGAAACTGGCAAAAGGTGCAGACATTAGGGACACCTGGAGTTCCCGAGTGTTTGTGGAACAGTGGCAGATTCYACAGGTACCTGGAGAGAAGCACTGCGGGGCCAAGGGCAGAACTTCTCAGCAACTGTGTCAGTCGTAGCACAATATRCACAGAGGTAAAGGTGTCAGAAATATGAAATTAGACACAGATCTTAAAAAAACCCACACGATAGCAACGGGGGAAAAATAGTTACGGGGTGGTTGTTCCTCTCGGGGGAGATGGGGCAGACAAAGGAAGTGAAGGGATTGGGAGAAGAAGGGTGAAGGAATTTGMAAAGGGATTGCAGAGGTGTGTGAGTGTTGTGCCAGTGCTGTGAGGAGGAGGCAGTTCTGTGTGCAATCACACTGCGGAATCTTACACTGCAGCTGCTTTGGGCATGCTGGCACCGAAATGGGCTGCTCAAATCCCTCACACAACAGAGCATCGGGAGCCTGCCATGCTCTACTGGCCAGAGGCACAAGGGGACATCTCCTCCAAATTATCATGGATGTTGAGCACAGAAAAAGCTCCTGGTTAGACTCTCTATTATACATACATATTCATTGATTTTYCTGGAATAAGCATACATTTGATAGTAATTTCCCCAAAATTATTAACTTTTGTTGCATTCCCTTTACACAGGCATTCTTATGTCCCAGAGGTGTCTTGGTGTTCACACACTTCAAAGTTCCAGTTGAGGACTTGAGGAACGGGTGTGACTTTCCAAATATGGAGCAGAGTTGGCGTGACCAGGCTGGTCACTCTGGCGTTCCCCTTGGTTAATGTTTGACGTGATCCTACAGAACAAGCATTGTGCAGTCCSATAGGACAGTGGGTTTGGAAGAATAACTATTGTGTTAGCCCACCGKGTGTGCAACCAGCTCCTTTGGCACCAGTGGGATGCACATCAAACGTTCTGTCCTGGTGGGGAGCACAGAGAGAAAGGAGCCCTGTGGGATCTGAGGGCTGAACTCCCAGCAATGCAGCGTGGGTGCACCTTCTGGGGCTGATGGCTTTGGCAGCTCCTTGTTGCTTCCTGTTGTTGTTTAGAACCAGGTTCACCTTTTTCTCGTTGAAAAAAGATTGGCAAGGTGACACAAAATATGAATTTCCATTGTTTACAGATCAAGTGGCAAGTTCACCCCAGATACCAGCCACTTCAGCACCACGGTGTGTTTCAGGTATGGGGGACAGGCACAGTCTGGGTGCCTCCTCACCCCAAGGGCAAACCCAGCTTTGGTTCTGGCTTMTTCTTGCCTTTGCTGTGGGTAATCTTTCTGGAAAACTGGGATCCAGGTGGAAACAAACTCTGCTGGTGAAAGAATGGAGCCTGCAGGTGACAGTGGCAGGGCTGCATGCAGGGTGGGATACAGAGGAGAGTGCATGGCTGGGCAGAGCTGCCTGGCAATCTGGCAGAGCCCAGACACCCCAGATGCTCTCCCCGTGGGTTCTTCTGCTTCCATGAAGCCCTGAAACTGTGGTAAGACACAGCTGGTGCAGAAGGCAGGAGATAAATACCACTCAGAAATCAAAACTGTGCTGGTAATTCCCTTTGGGACCTCAGTCAGGTTTCTAGGTGCAAGGAACTGACCACGGTGGATTGATTCTCCTCCATGAAAACATTGGAGTGGCCCTTGAGGTGCTGTGCTGGGCTGTTTCCTCAGGCTGCTCCTGCACGGTGGGGACGGCTCCTCGGTGAGCTGTGAGCACCGAGGGCATGTGGAGGAGCACCAGGGAGCACGGCTGGCACTGCACCAGGATGTTCATCAGCGATGGAGGCGCTCCCCARGCCCTGGGCAGCGAGCAGGAGCACGGAGAGGCTGAGCAGGTAACGCCTTGGCCCTTTCCCCCACCCAAGGAATCAATGTTGATGCGGCACTAATGGCAGCGCTTGGCTTCGTGCCCSCGGAAAGG